AAATCGACCATGGTAACCTTCTGGATAGGTTAGTGGTACTGGGGGTCGGAGGCACTGCTTTGCAGTGGTTCCGCTCCTATCTCAATGGCCGATTCCAGAAGGTGATGCTGGGGGACTATGGCTCTGCGCCATGGCAGTTATGCCATGGAGTTACGCACGGATCCGTTTTGTCCCCTTTGCTGTTTAACATCTACACGAAACCACTGGGAGAGGTCATCAGGAGGTGTGGGCTGTGGAATCATCAGTATGCTGATGATACCCAGCTCTACCTCTCATTTTCACCAATCCAGGTGAGGCAGTGGCTGTACTGAACCGGTGCCTGGCCGAGGTAATGGGCTGGATGAGGGCCAATAAACTGAAGCTCAATCCAGACAAGACAAAGGTCCTGTTGGTTGGCGGATCGGGCTTTGGGGAGGGTGAACTGAACCTAGTCCTGAATGGGGTTGCACTTCCTCTTAGGGACAAGGTTCGCAGCTTGGGAGTGCCCCTCGACCCAGAGCTTTCACTGGAAGCTCAGGTGACAGCGGTGGCGAGGAGCGCTTTCTTTCAGCTTTGGCTGATCCATCAGCTGCGCCCCTACCTGGAGTACGACTGCCTGGTGACAGTGACACATGCATTGGTGACTTCCCGACTTGACTTCTCTAATGCGCTGTATGTGGGGCTACCCTTGAAGATGGTCCAGATACTTCAATTGGTTCAAAATAGAGCTGCCAGGCTGCTGACGGGGACTGGGCGTTATGTTCACATGACTCCAGTCCTCCATCAGCTTCACTGGCTTCCCATTGAAGTCCGGGCCCAATTCAAGGTGTTGGTTATGACCTATAAAGCCCTAAACGGCTTGGGTCCTGGTTACCTGAAGGAGCGTTTATGTCCATATATGCCCGCCCGCCCCTTGAGATCTGCGGGAGAGGCCCTTCTCCGGGAACCCTCCATGAAGGAAATTAGGAGGGTGAGTACTTGGAGGAGGGCTTTCTCTGTGGTGGCGTCCAATCTATGGAATGCGCTCCCCAGAGAGGTCCGCCTGGCGCCATCGTTATTTGTTTTTCGGCACCAGGCGAAGACTTTTTTATTCAAATGTTATTTTAATTGTTAATATTATTTATTCATTTAATTCTTTGGCCAGGGCGACTTAATTTATGTTGTTAATTTATATTATTCTATTTTGAAGTTTATTTATGGTTGTGAGCTGCCCCGAGGCTTCGGCAAATGGGGCAGCATAGAAGTCTCCTGAATAAATAATAAATAAATAAATCTTTAACTTTGTGTAAAGCAACAGAAATCTTTGCAAATCCTAAGGACAGCTCTTTCCATGGACATGTCCAGGCCTGCTGCTCCCATCATCCTTCACCACTGGCTATCTAGGGTTGATAGAAATTGTAGGCCAGAACAACCAGTTTCTTACCCCTGGGGAGCTTGGTTCTTCAGTTGCCAAGAAACATAGTAAAAAAACAGACAAACTCAGACAATTCAACTTACAGATATCTTCAACAATTTGCAACCCACCAAGTCCCTCAGTCAGGAATGGCAGCTCAGAAGAGGCTGATAAATCTTGCTTTTGGTGGCTGCATGAAATTGTGAAAATGGGATAGGTAGTAGTTGTCAAGTACTTGGCAGCTGAGCACATTGACTGGAAGAGTGTATGCAGCTTTGCTGGTTACGAATTGTGCACCCTTGCCTTACAAACTCACATTTCTCCCTACAGAAAGTGATGAAGTATATTTGCAGCAGTTTTGCCTTCCTGTGCCTGCCTACTTATTGTGCTACTTGCAAACCATACACTGTTGGCTTGTTCATGCTCCAGAAAACCTCTCCAGCTGCAGGGAGGAATGAGATGTCTATCAGACAAGAAATAGCAGCTTAGGAAAACAGTGGTGAAAGAAAAATGATTCAGAAGGCATATATTGTTTCCACTTAGACTAGGCCAGAGTTTGTTTTAGTTTACAACCAAACCACTAATCAATTAACTAATTTGCCAATTATTATTTTAGTTTATATCCTTTCAGAAAGTATACTTAGAGACACATTAATATAAACCAAAATGAGATTATGCCATTCTTCTCCTTAAATGTTTTGCTCTATAAATTACATAGTCAGGTGAATGGTTTAGAGATTAAATGAACGATTGCATCTCAAAACTTATTTTTCTATAAGCCGTTTTTATTACACAGAATACACTGCCTGACCCCATGATTGCCTCAAACCAGCTGCATAACAACAGTGGAAGGATTACAATTAGGACTATTCGAATATGTAAAAGTATATACATAAATGTTAGGCAAGAGAAAGATTAAAAGAAACATTTGGCTCAGAAAGTAATTAAAATACCTTATATGCTAATGTTTTGAAACAGTTAACAACTACAGTTCCTTAGCCTTTGCTTTTTTTGTTTTGTTTTTTAAGAAATCACTGGAAGATATTATATTGCTAGCTCTGGCTGCTAAGACATGTTCACAGCAAGGCTCCAGGCGTAATTTCTTCCTGGAATATACACTTGCTTCTCTGAGCTGAAAGAATGCCATTTAGTGTATACATCAGATGAGTAGCTGCATGAATGTTATAGCAAAGTGTATTACAATGACTGTTGCACAGATTTGTTCAGTCACTTTTCATAAGCTGTCATGAAAGATAAATGGAGCTGAAAACTATGCCAGAACACATTTTCAAGCAGTAGATTCACTGTGGTCCTTGTCCCAAAGAAATGTTCATACCCATCAGGTCCTTGTGCATCACATTTGTGCGGTGGCTCTTCGAATATGTATAAGGGGACATGATTATAGGTTGTATTCCTCTGCTTCTAGGAGAAACAGTACAATTTCATTCCCTGCACTTGCTCACTGCTGAAATGGTCTGGGGTGCCAACCCTGTCTACAAAGGAAAGGGGCTCCTGGTCTTATGTTAACCTGTAACATGTTTTATGTCACTTATGTACCTTAACAATTCCTGTACTTTCTGCACTGGTTCAAAGGTGGTGTATAAAGAATGATGTGAAAACACACAAGAAGACATTTGGACCAGAAAACAAATCCTTAGGTAATATTTAAAATATTGCCAGTGCCGAAACAGTTTACCAGTAATTTATAATTGGGGTTCAGTTGAGTAGCATTCATCTACCCTGGAGGTAAGAGATGGGAAAAACCCTAGGTTAACATTAGCCTTCCTCTAATTGTCTCTTTGCCTGTTATATGACGTATACCTCTGCTGGAAAGACAATAGGAAAGCAAGCCCTGGCATTTTGGGAAGTGTGCCACATTGTTCCTGTGCCCCTTGTGCTTTTTATGGATTCAGTACAGTGCAATTTTAGTTTTTTTCTTCTGTTTCTTCAAGTGGCTCCTTCTCCTAGCACCAGCTTTTGGCAGAATGGACACTGTGAGAGGACTTCTGACTGCCGAGAAAAGCAGCTGTTCCTCTCAGTGCTAGCTTTGGACAGAGTGCCTTGTCCCTCTGGGGGTGGTATACACTAAGGTACAGAGGCTGACCAATGTTGGAAAGAACAGCAACTTTGCTCAGCATTGGCCACCTACCACCCACATCCCTGCTATTATCTGAGATAAGAGTATGGACTGCCCTGCACACTAAATTTTCCTATAATTTCCTACACAAGGCATGAGTTGGAGGCCAAGCCCTGCCCCCTGGAGGAAAGCAAGGGGGCTGCAGGAGAATGGGGAACCTCTGTGGTTCAGATTTTGTCCCTGAGTCAGTGATTTCACATCCTTGCTTAAGGCGTTAGTTTACAAGGATGTGAATATGGTCTCCCATCCAGGAGGCATAAACAGCCAGATCTGCTCTGTTTCTGCAGCAGAAACAGCTAATGTGCTTTTGGATTATTGTCTGTCATCTTCTCAACTTATTTCTGTCTTAATCAAACAGAACAGTGATGTGTATTTTGAGGAGTTTATTTCAGACATCTACAGGTCCCAGATGTAGTGACAAAACCAAAAAAATAGATAAGACTTCATTCTTATATATTGCACTCTCTCTCCCCCACCTTTTCTAATACCTAATGCAGTTGTTGAGCAAAGAAAGGAGACCCAAACTGTGGACTTTGATAAACAGGAAGGAGACATTAGCAAGACAAAAAGAATCCATGGGTTTGCAAAAGTACCAAAAGTCTTTAAAAACGAAAACCTAAAGCAGAAACCATTCATCCCAAGGAGAATTGAGCATGCTACATAAAGTATCACAATGTCATGTGAAATCTGAAAGCTTTGTTGGGTTAAGCACCTTAAGAAGCCTGGGGTTGAATTAAGTAGTGAAGAACCTGGGGATGGGGCAATAGTCAGCTGGTGCGGGGAACCAAAGGCAAAAGAAATAGGAAAAAAATATAGAAATGCCAGCATATTAGATCTTAAAATTGCCAAGGATGAAGATTACAACAGCTGGTAAACCACCACACCACAGCTAGTTGGGAAAAGGATGGGGCTAGGAAAGGGCATTATCTGGGAAAGCTGGGAAAGTCAGCTTGAGACTCAGGAACCAGAATTGTTTTGAGCCTCCAGGCGCAAGGTTTCCCACTCCTGCTTTAAAGACTAACCAAGTGAATAGTGCTTAGAAAAGAAAATCAGGAAGCATCCTAGGGGCCAATGGTGATAGTTTGTGTAGTGAAATATTCAGGAGGGCTATATGGCTGGAATGGCACACTAAACAGGAAGGAAAGCTCTTCTGAGCAGGTAAAGGACACTCGAAATTTTTGCTACAGGTCCCAATGGGCCTATTTCCCACAGGAAGCAGGAAGGCAGCTATTTCCACGCTGCGGTGCCCAGTTCTGTTTTTAAAAAAAGAGACAAAAGCAAGTCAGAAAGAATCGGGCGCCCTCCCGGCGCTTTTGAAAAGCTGGCTGAAAGCAGAGAGCCAGCCGCGCTGCCGCCAAGCAGACAAAGAAAGCGGCCCCCCTCCCCTGGCTCCGCCCCGGCCACGCCCCCGCCAGTTCCCCGCCCTTCCTGTTGCCCGTTTCCTAGCAACCGTCCGCGTGCCCCCTTTCGGGGCGAAAAAGAAGGGGCGGCATGGCCGACGTTCCTAAAGGCACAACCCGGTCTCCTGCTCTGCCTCCCCCGCCGCCCGCCATTTTCTATGGGCCTGTGGAGCCGGGGAACCCGGTGGTCATCAGCTTCGAGAGCGACCTGAGCCACTGTCTGAGCTTCTTGCGGCGGAAGCGGGGAGCGGGCGCCTCGGGCGCCAGGGAGCAGGAGCTGCACAGGCGAGGGTAAAGCTGGGAGCGGGCTTGCGGCGGGATGCAAACGCGCTTTGCTGGGTTGACGCCGGAGAAACAAAGCTTTCCGCCGCCTACGTGCTCCTCCTCCTCTTCCTCCTCACTTTGCAGAGCTGTGGAGAATTGTTTACTGCAGTGGCCTGCTACCTTATTCTGCTAAAGCTCAACTCCCCTACTCTGCATTTATAGTCCCGGTTTATTTTCGCGGAAAGGAGCAACAACTCTGATAACGTAATAGTTGGCCTATCCCTGGTAGTGCTTAAGTACCCAGCAGACAGAAATTCAACAGGTGAATTTTCTGCATCTGTGCTTGAGACTGCTGAGGAAACGCTGCACTGTTGGAAATTTCTGCCTTTTACGGAGCTATTGCAACCCGAGGAGCCCTGTGCCAGGAAGATGTGGGAGGCAATCTAACTTTATACGCAACGTACAGATTCCTCAACCGATTTCTGATCAGACGAAGATGCAGACTCGTATTAATGGTTGTGTGGGTACCAGATAGGAAATTTATATTAAGACTGAAAATGGGGCTTGAGAAAGTCTCCATTTGCACATACAGAAACTGACATAGTCACATTAAAAATATACACGCAGTTTTGTTGACTGTATTTATTCCAAAGTCCATATTAATTTTTTGCTTTGTTTATTATCTTGTCTTTCCAGCATTCTGGAAAATTTCAAATGTAGCACAATATTTTGTGACTTTGAGTTGGTATTTACTTAATAAAGATGTTGGAAGATTTTTATGGCCAGCTACAAGAAGCAGCTACATTTGTTTCTTGTGTGACTTGTAGGATACTGAATTTGGACAGTGCAACTATTGTTTCTTTTTGTGTGTGGCAATTGTACCCATGAAGAGTTGTGAGAGAAGATGCATGTCACGTTGTTGTGGCTCTGTGCACCCAACCAGATTTTCATGCACACATTCAATTGATGTAGGGGAAAAAAGGTTCTGCCCCTTTCTTTTGTCAACTTTAATTGCTGCCATAATTTGCTTATTTATAACAAATGACTTGCTTAGCTCAGTGCTTTATTCTTGTTAGCGATTTAACGTGAGAAGGGGTAAATCGTCTTCCTGCCATTCACTTTACCCATAAATGCGAGAAGTTAAATTTGAGACATTCTATGTGCAAAGTATTTAACTTATATGCAGAGTACATCATGCAAAAAGCCAGGCTAGATGAATCACAAGTCGGAAATAAGATTGCCTAGGAGAAATATTAACAACCTCAGATGCACAGATGATAGCACTCTAATGGCAGAAGGTAAAGATGAACTAAAGAGCCTCTTGATGTGGGTGAAAGAGGAGAGCTTTCAAGTTGGCTTGAAACTCAACATTGAGAAAACTAAGATCATGGCATCTGGTCCTATCACTTCCTGGCAAATAGATGGGGAAGAAATGGGGGTAGTGACAGATTTATTTTCTTGGGCTTCAAGATTACCGCAAACTGCAGCCAAGAAATTAAGATGCTAGCTCCTTGAGAGGAAAGCTATGGCAAATCTAGACAGCATACTAAAAAGCAGGGACGTCACCCTGCCGACAAAAGTTTGTATAGTCAAAGCTATGGTTTTCCCAGTTGTAATGTATGGCTGTGAGAACTGGACCATAAGGAAAACTGAGTGCCAAAGAATTGCTTCCTTTGAATTGTGGTGCTGGAGAAGACTCCTGTGAGTCCCTTGGACTGCAAAGGAATCAAATTGGTCAATCTTAAAGGAAATCAACCCTGATTGTTCTTTAGAATGTCAGATACTGAAGATGAAACTCAAATACTTTGGCCACCTAATGAGCAGGAAGGACTCACTGGAGAAGAGCCTGATTCTGGAATGATTGAAGGCAAAAGAAAGGGATGGCAGAGAGAGAGAAGTGGCTAGATAGGGTCACTGGGGTGGTGGGTGTGGGCTTGGGTGGACTCCAGGGAATGGTGGAGGACAGGTGAGCCTGGAAGAATGTTGCCCATGGGGTCGTGATGGGTTGGCAACTTTGCGACTAAACAAAAAAACACCCCAAACCTGCAAAGTATGTACTCTGTTGCTGAGCTATGACTCTATGTGAATGAAAACAATCAACTAGAGGAGTCTTTCTACAAACGGATATGTATATTCCTTTTACCCAATTCATGCTAAAAGTTGCCATCTAAAAATATATACAAGGGAATGGAAGGGAAAATAACAGTAACAGTATATAAAATTTCAGAAGTTGTAGTAAAGCATTATGGTCCTTGTTTATTATTGAATATATGCAGTCATGGCCAAACTGGTTACCATAAAGGTGGCACTGACTAGTTTCTAGCTGTGACAGCTGCATTTTGCCCCATGTCATTTAATGTGTGTTTATAAGGTCTTTGTGAATCTGCCTCCACTTCAAATTTTCAGTATTCATAATTCAAGCCATTCTTCAGTTTAGTATCATTCTTCAGTCTTGTATTTTTCTTGCAGCAAAGGGACTGGGTCTAGCCATGTAATTTTCTGAGAGCTATGAGAAGTTGCTAGGGGAAGTAAAATCGTATTTTGCTCTAGCTTCAATCCTTGAAATCTTTAGGTGTGTTAACAAAGTGAGAAACTTTTGTCCATGTTGTGGGCACATATACATTTACCAGGACAAAAAAAAAAAGTAGGAGGGGTAACAGTTGCTATTTGTCCCCCTCCGCCCCTGATTTTGAACACATGTAAAACAAGAGTAATCTGGTCCAAGAGATTTACTTATTCATTTTTTGTTCATCGCTTTATTATATTATGGTACTTATGTTCCTTAAATTAATTGTCATTTTATCTGACTTCTGTCTCATCCCCAGTATCCTTTTATAGCTTCATGCTTTCTTTTTTCTTTTCTAATTTAAGCTGTTTGTTCTGTTTTCTATCTGATGTAATCTGTATGTGATATCATTTTATGTTACCATATATCAGGGTTTATTTCTATCTTTTTTGTAGCTGCCTCATCTGCATTATTGCTTCTGACATTTTTGTAGCTTGATTAAATTTCTATGTTGTACTCACTGATATTATTTAAGTATTATGGGGGATTTGTAGAATGCACACCTTTCTGTTTGTC